AGAGACATTAGGAACAGTCTCGATATGCATTACCCACGGTCTCATCTGTCACTGTACCAAAAAGGCTTACATTATACAGGGATTAAGGTTTTTAATAGACTGCCTGCTCCTATAAAACTATTGTCAAATGATATAAAACAATTTAAAAGCGCATTGAGGGAATTTCTGTATCTTTATTCCTTTTATTCACTAGAGGAATATTTTAATATAATACAATAATATACTTTATAATTTTATTTTGATTTTATATGTATAATGTTTATATTTTTGATACTATTATATTTATATCTTGATTTTAGCATACTGTGCAGAAATGTGATAAATCCATTATATGTTTAGGCTATTCTTATTTCATTGTACCTATTTTATTGTTGACAAAGCTCTGTATAGGAACTGTTTTTTCTTTTATAATTATCTTTGACATGTTCTACATCCTGTGGCATGTTTGTCAATAACGATTTATGGAACAAATAAAAAAATGAAAGTGAAAGTGAAAGTATCCAATGGGTAGTGGGGGCTCTTTCCCTAGGGACAAAGCACTAGGGGCATGAAGGTGACCATGGACCTCCATCTACAACCAAGGTCAAGAATGGTGGAGCTGTACCTCCATTCCCGCATGCAGCTTCATGGCGTAGTGCTTAATTATTTAAGCATAGGAACAATGTTACCTACCTACTTCCAGTTGTAAGATCTGAGGTTTTCATATGGTCACTGTGAAGAATGTTGTGTTCTGGGATTCTTCTTACTTCCAACTGTAAGATCTGGGGGTTTCACATGGTCACTGTGAAGAATGTTGTGTTCTGGGATTCTTCTTACTTCCAACTGTAAGATCTGAGGTTTTCACATGGTCACTGTGAAGACTGTCATGCTCTGGGATGTGGCGCTGTGGAGATATCTACATGGGGCCACATCCCAGAACACAACATTCTTCTTACTTCCAATTGCTATTGTCATTACTTCTTTAATTTGTTCAAGGCTTATGGAACTGTGCAATATACATGTGTGCACAGCTTTATCTCCCTTCCACTCTTCCCAGTATATTTCTTCTAATATATATTAAGATGTTTGAACATTCTGCAGTGTATTGTTGAGTGACTCAAAGTTAATGTGGGAGGTACAGGCCAAACCTTCCTGTCCTGTGACACTGGTGTAAATAGCTTGTGATGCAGCACATGTGAGTTTAAAATATGATAATTTGGGATTATTTATGTTTCTAGCATATTTTCCTTTCATAATGAGGAAAAACAGGCTTAGCAGATCACCATGCCCTCTGAATGTATATGTATCCATTTCAGCTTTTTAATAGGTTACCCAGTTCTTACAAAACCTGATGTAATCATTGTGCAATTGCACTTTTTATTTCCTTCAAACAGTAATATCTGAATGGTGGATATGCAGACTTGTGAGGTGGAAGAGGCACCAGCGCCACTTAATTTAATGCTCAATTCTAAGACATTTTTTGTAGAATATCAAATAGTAATATGGTGGCCGTGCAAATACAGGGTTACTATAAATGATTCAGTCGTTTTTAAAACGCTATATTTTCCAAAGCATTACACATACAAATATGATTGATATATAAAAAGAACCATTAACTCACCAAGTTTTCTTCACACTCTACAAATGTTCTATGTGTGCCCCTTGGGTCAGACGACACACATCCAGGCGGTAGTCGAGCTTGTTCCACACATTTTTTTAGCATCATCCTGTCAATGGTCATCACTGCAGCATCGATGCATTCCCTCAGCTCTACTATGTTCTTGGCAGTGAGGATACGTAAACACGATCCTTAATGTACCCCCAAAGGAAGAAGTCACAAGGCGTTAGATCAGGTGATCTGGGGGGCCAAATGAACAGAGCTATGTCATCCTCACTAACACGCCCAATCCAGCGATGCCGAAGTTCATTGTTTAGGTAGCGACGAACATTGATGTGTGCACACAATACAAACTTGGTGAGTTTACGGTTCTTGTTATTTATCAATCATATTTGTACATATAGTACTTTGGAAACTATAGCGTTTTAAAAACGAATGAATCAATTATAGTAGCCCTGTATTTTCTTTAGCTTTTGGTTTAATGACAGTAACTAATAAAACACTGGAGCTTGGCATGTGGAATTTGGTGTGAAAATACAATACAGCATAAACATGAATTTAGTATGTGTGAACTATTATTTGTAAGCTAACAGATACTCACATTGTGAGGGCACAAAACATTCAGGTTGTGTCTGACAGCTTTAGTATATACAAGGAGCAACAATTTAATTCTTGAAATGGCCCTGTGAAAGCAAAATTTGCTTACCTGTGCAGTAGTAGCTCCTGTCACCTTTGAAATACTCTCCTTATGAAGCAATGCACTTCGTGAAATGATGGTGCCACTGCTGGAAACAGTGGTCAAAATTGTTTTCTGGAATACCTCGCAGTAATGTTATGTTGCGTTGGATGTCAGGAATGTCAGCAAATCTATGTTCCTTCAGGGTATTTTTTAATTTTGGAAACAGCCAAAAATCGCAGTGAGCTAAGTCAGGTGAGTAAGGTGGATGGTCCATTTTTGTAATGCATTTCCTAGTCAGGAACTCGCAAAATCTGAATGCATCATGTGCAAAGACATTGCCATGGTGGAGAATCCACTTGTCAGGTCAGAGTTTGTGTCTTTTCCTCCAAACAGATTCATGTAGCCTTGTCAGCACTTTGAAATAACACTGTTGATTCACTGTTTGTCCTTGTGCAATGAACTCATAGTGAGGTATCCCCTTATGATTGAAGAAATACACAAGCATGGTCTTGAACTGCAATCATCACGAGTGCTTTTTTTTTGGCCAAGGTTAACTCTATGTTTTCCACTGCATGCCCTGACATTTTGTTTCCAGGTTGCATTGAAAACACCATGTTTTATCACAGATAATGACCCTATCAAATATCTCTGCATTGTGTAACAGATCAGATGAAATGTGAAGCTAATGTTGTTTCTGGTCATCTGTCAAGATTCGAGGGACCATCTTTGTGGAAAATTTTCTCATTCCCAAATCCTCAATAATAACCTGTCACACTCTTTCCCTGTTCATATTAATTTCTTCTGATATTAGCCTCACTCCTAATCTTCGATCTGAGTGCTCCAAGGTTTGTACTCTGCCCACATTTGCATCTGTCCTTTGCATTTTTGGCTACCTACTTCTTGGGTCATCTTGTACATCTTCTCGCCCTTTCTTGAACTGCCTGTGCCATTCAAAAACACTCGATTTCCTCATAGCATATTCACCATAAGCCACTGTTAATAGGGCTAATGTTTCACTAGCGCTTTTACCAATCTTCATGCAAAACTTGATGTTTATCCACTGCTCCAGATTCTTGTCACTCATTTTTCTACCAACAGTATACCACGGACACGTACTACTTCCTCTGCTGCTTGGGAACAAATGTGTCCTTTGGTATGTGGCTCATATAAACACAATTTGGGACCTGTCCAAATGTGCTTGGGTATATGAGTTTGCCTGACGCAACACCTCAGCGATATGCTGCAGCCATTCAAGGAATTAAATTACAGCACGTTGTATACAATCTGTCCTTAAATGAAAATGAAATAAAATAATATTAATAGTAATGGATTTATAGAACTCCTATGCAGTAGGAAAGTAGATAAGTGTGTTTTGGAGCAACCTCCTACCTTCATCAGGGTAGAAGTAAAAACAATATTCTTCAAACCTGAAGGACAAAAGAGCAGATTCTTCCTAGATGTTGATTCCTGTCTACAAAACTACACAGCATCTAATCCCAGAAGACAAATAAGCTTTCTTTTCGTTATTAATTACTTGTGATGTTTTATAATGCATGTGGTCTCATTGTTTCACAATTTAGAGGTGAACGTCAATTTACGGTATGGTTCTGTTTCAGGTACCTGCATAAGAACACTGCCACCTTATTCAGCTTACAGGAGTATGGCATAGCCCCTCCTGAATATCACCGTAAAGCGATATGAATTTAATGTGCATATGGATGTATTGAAATCTGTTTGCTCAATCAGTTATTATTTTATGTGACCTGATCCTTTATTCTTTTTCTAGATAATTGTAATTGAGCTTCATGCAAAATCTGAAGTTTAAAAGTCCAGTTTAAAATTGTGAAATTTTGTTTCTGTTAATTCTTCAATCAAAATTTTGTAATGTGTTCTGTCTGTCTCAAATTTACATGGGAAAGCTTTGCAGTAGTGGTTGTATTGTCCATTATTGTAACTACAAACATTAAACTTCAGGCATAAACTTTTCAATACATCCTTGCTTGTGTATTTGGTGAGTTTTAATAATGTTGCTGGTCAAGTGTAGAATAGTCTTCTTCCATCTATAATGTAACAGTATCATTATAGATTTTGATGACACAAATTCACATTTAATTCGCTAGTGTTCATTAAAATGTTTATATACACTCTGTGTTTATGCACTCCATGTTTCAGCCACAGAGGGCCATCTTCAGGCAACACAAATCAACACAAGATACGCACCAACAAAGAAGCTGCACACCCAGTGGGGCACAGAGCAGCTGCAATATAAAGGACAGGAAGATCAAACATCCTGTAACATCAAAATTGATGAGAATAGCAATGACGTACTTCAAGAGTACTATAGACGAAGTACACCTGCTGTAGATTCCATAAAAATGTGTTGCCTGTCGATGGCCCTGTGTGGCTGAAACACGTAGCGCATAAACACAGAATGTGTATATATTTCAGTGAATTAAATATGGATTAGTGTGATCTAAATCTCTACTGACATTGTTGCATTATAGATGGAAGAAGACTACAGGTGATAGTTCAATGCAGCAGGATGATGAAATATAACAGTAGAGTAGTGTGCTTGATCCCGTTGTGGCAACTGGATGACAGTCAATTCTGTGATTCACCTTTTTCAAAAATATTTTTACATTTTTCTGTAGATATTACAGTGGTTATTCACTAAATTTTAGGCTATGTGAAGTACGTGTTTGAAATAGATGTGCTTAATCATTCTACTACTAAGGTTATTCGAATTGGCATTAGAAAGGATTGAATGTGTTGACATCAGCCATTTCTGATTGCACCAAACTACTCCTTTGAGTGTTGAAAGTTTTATGTCACTGATGTTGGAAAATGTGAATGTTTCATTCTTGATTATTTATCAGTCTCAATAACCATTTTGTCTAGATAATCACATGTTCAGCAAAATCTGTGTGATGTTTTTTTTTATTAGGCCACTTAAATTCTGAAACATTGTGAGCCATATTTGCTAAACATTTCAGGAGATAAAAGGAACTTAAATTATTTGAATAAATCAGTATTAATAAAAATGGTTTTATTGTACTTTGCATTGAATGTATATCCTTAAATTATATGGAGTGATCCATTTTATAGCTTATCCAAAGAGAAAACATACGTGTATTTTATATCTCACTGAACTTAAAACTTAAGTGAATGTGTATAAAAGATGCTGGAATTGTTCCCATTTGTTCTGAATTGCGCATAATACTCTTGACCAGCGTTTCTCAACCTGTGGTCCGCAATGATGGGACAGGTGGTCTGCAAGCAGGCATAAATTAAATTAAATTAAAAATTATCCAACCAAAAAAAAATTAAAATTAAATAAGTAAAGCTATCCTTGTACAAGGCCATGAAGGCCCATAGGGTTGTGAGACGTTGAGGATCCCACATTGTCTAGACAATCGGCTCAAAGATGGCAGTAAGGTTGTTAGCCCTATGCGCCGGCCGCGCTTTACTCCCCAGGAAAATTATTTAATTAATTCCTGGTACTCATTTCTGTTAGAGGCTGAGTAAACCCCAGGGCCTAGTGCGGCTGGAAGGAATAGGTCAACTGAAAAAATCCAATGACCTCAACTGGACTTGAACCCGCAACCTTTGTTTAATAAAGCTTACAACTTTGTTAAATAATGATTCACTTTTAATAGTTTACTTCCAATTTAATTTAGTGTTTCCACATGTATTCAAAACATGCTTTTAGATTTATTATGTTATTCATGGCATGGTGTGTCCCAAATGTTGGTAATACCACATAGTTTTATAAAAACATGCCTACATAACTTTGTGGCCCCTAGAATTTTTTCGGACATTTTACTAGTCCTTGGGCTTAAAAAAGGTTGAGAAACACTGCTCTTGACTATAATTCAAAAGACACATGGAAGAGTTCTTTTGTATGCTAACTAACTTCTCCTTGAGATGCTCCCATTTGCTCAGTTACTCAAGAGTTTCCCAACATTTTATGGAACCTGAATGTTCACTACCATACTCACAAGAGCACTCCACTGATCCATATCATGAGCCACATGAATCAAATCCAATACCATCCCATCCTATCCTCTTTTTCTAAGATCTGTTTGAATATTATCCTCCCACCCATACCTAGGTCTTCATAGTGGTCTCTTTCCTTATGGTTTTTGACACTGAGGTCCTATATGTATTCCTCTTCTCCCCTTGCATGTTACATGCTCTGGCCTTCTCATCTTCCTTGATTATATCGTTCTAATTACATTTAGTGAAAAGTAAAAGTTATGAATTTCCTCATTATGCAGTTTTCTCCAGCCTCCTGTCACATCATCCTTCTTCGGCCCAAATATTCTCTTCAACATCCTGTTCCCAGAGACCTTCAGCCTGTGTTCTTTCCTTAATGTCAGAAACCAAGTTTTACGCCCAAATAAAACTACAGGAAAAATTATGGTTTTGTGTGTTTTAATCTTTACCTTTTTGTATATGAGTAGCAGAGGAGAAGACAAAAGGTTCTGAACTGAATGTGGTAAGCATTACCCAAATTCAGCCTCCTCTTAATTTCCCTATGAATCAAATTATTGTTTGTTACTGTTGTTTCCAGATATTTGAACGTCACCACATTTTCAAAAGATCTGTTAGCTGTCTCATATGTTATGATTTTGGCCTGCATTCTGGTGAGAAGACATCAACATATGCTGTTATGTGCTTTGTTGAATATTTTCATGTATGCATCCTTTAAGAAAACCCCACCTGAAAAAGTCAGGGGATGTGTATGGCCAAAATCCATACAGTTAATCGATTCAGTTCAGCAGTTTCACATCAAGCAACTTCAACCAGCAGGCTTCGTCGCCAGCGCTCGGTCTTCGGAGACATCGGCAGGCTGCGCCGGGCACGACTGCCTCGGCCCTCCAGCGCTCTCATACCCGACTCACTGGGGCACCGCGCCTGGACTCGCCGGTGGTCGTGTTACGGTCCGACCCACTGGGCATCTGGCGTAGCCACTGCCTCATGGCTCCTACGACCGCGCTCAACGACTAGCCTCTTCACCAGCAGCAGCCGCCGCACTGCGATTAAGCAACCTCCAACTCACGCTGCCGCACGGCAACCAAGCAACCTCCAGCCACGGCCGCACTGCGGCCAGGCCACTCGCCATTCACTAGCCTTTCTCCTTACCGGCGCGTGCCGCGCAACCTCACCGGTCAATCATCTCAGCAGCCACGGTCCTTTTCAGGGCCAACAAATTGTTCCGAAGAAGTGGGTTGTCATCGGAGTAATGACAAGACTACACACGTTGACAATAGAGAGCCCCACAGTATATAGTCATCCCTATGAATGCAGTGGGCTTTATATTCCAAGAATTGTGGCAGCCAAGGCAATGAATTTACTTAGTGCATCTTCAGAGTCTGCAACAGTTCATACATCTGTTTCTGCTTCATTTTTAGATTTGAGTGTGTAACTTGTTGCAGTTGCCAAAGGGAGAAAAAAATCTTAATGTATTATTTGTTAAGTAAAATATCTTCAAACAGCTTAAGTGAAATACAATATAAGGAATGCTACTACACTTTTGAGAGCCAAAGTAATGCCTGGCTAATTTTCTTAATATGGTCTCTCTATCCAAGACAGGATTATTTTTTATTGTTA